GTTTGAATGGGGAAAAGAGGTAAGTAACCGAGGCTCTATTCTTAGTCCATCATTTCTCCCCTCAGTCTTTAACAACCACTCGTTTGAGCCAATAGAATCGCTCCATTTTCCCCTTGTTTTCTGTGTCTATCACTTTGTCTATCAGTCTCAGTAATGAGCCCACTGAGGTTAAAGTTCGCCCGCACCTGATAAGCATCTCTTCCGTCGAAATTTGACGAGGAATAGATGAGAGTGAATCGATTCTTACTACGGTGTTGGCGGTGGTTAGCGGGGCGTTTGCAAGTATCCGTGCAAGCAGTAAGGATGAGAAATGATGGTCGGCAGAATTGAATATGTAAGTGGAATGCCGCCGTGCCGTGGGTGGAGGGGGAGGAGAGAGCATTTATTTTGTCTCGGCCGTTTCCTTGTTGGAAGCGTTCTCCCTCCAGCGCCTTGTTTGGGGGGACTCCTCGCTACCTTGGCTCCTAACCGTGACATCATTTCTAGCGATGGCATAATAACAAGGTCTCCCTCGTGTGCGTTGTCAGCTAGTGGCCCGCCGGAGAATGGTCTCCGTCGTCTTTTGCCGTCCCCGTCCAGCGCGACGCGACGTCCGGACGACGAAAATCCGATGACTTTAACGCACGTTCGGTTCGTTCCGGCTCCGAAAGCGCCGGCTTCCACGCGGTTCCCATCCAACGCCGAGAGGGAGGGGGAGGGGGCACGAGCATGTCCAAATTCCGAAACCCCAACTTTCCATGACTGAGCTCTCTAGCTTTCGTGTGCTGCCACATTTCCGCCCGGTAGCGAAGGGATTCTTTTTTCTTATTTTCTACTCGTATCTCTTCTCCATCGTAGAGTACCTACTGAGCTGCCACAGTCAGAGAATACCTTGAAAACAGCGAAAAATCAGGGAAAACCTGGAAAACCGCCAAATGTCTGGGAAAACCTGGAAATGACAGGGAAGGGAATGACCTATCGAAAGTGTTAGAGAAAAATTCTTAATTCACCTCTCTTCGCTTTCTAAAATGGATTCGACGTCTAGAACAACAAATTGTGCGTGGAAACTATTTCAAATCATGTATTTTTGGCCATGTGGCATACCCTCAATCGTCAGAGAATTCTGCTCAAATTTTCAAGGAAATCAGGGAATTCCATTCTCTAAATTTTGTGGCAACCCTGTACTTAGAGTCATAGTAGGAATGAAAGAGCTGGCGCCGCTACTTTAAAGCATTTTCCAATCATCGAATTCCATGACTCTTGTGCGGTGCCGGGTTACCAATTCGATACATTATCGATTGTTTTCGATGTACGAGTACCCGGCCATCCAAAAGCAGCTTTTTCTTCCCGCCACCTGAGTCGTGAGGCATAGTCATAGTTATTAAACCGAAAAACTGGGGTCTCTCCTTTGCCGTTCGATTAAAGCGCACTATTTATATCGTAAAAAGCCCGATCACAGACTACGGTCGATAGGGAAAAAGGTGTGAATTGAACAACACGACGTGGCATCACTGTCGCATATTTCGGCGATTGTGGTTTAAGTTTTTTTTCTTGTCACATCCACCGGTGACCTGTTTTCCCTGAAAATTTCGCCCAGTCACTTGCCATCGGTCCTCGGATTCGTAATTTACTTCCCGTGCTCATAATCCACGCAAACAATTTGTGGTTTTAGCAAGATTTATTTTTAAACCCGACTGCCGTTCAGCCCGATCATGATCTCAAAATATTCAAGTTCTCTTTCACTGCCAGCAGCCTCCTGCTTCGAGCTTCGGGTCCGTTTCGCCTTTTAATAGTCTTGATGATGGCGCTTATTCTACATTCCGGCAACGTAGAAGTCTAGAAGTTATTATTTCCAAGTTACTCTGTAATTTATTCTCTCTTGTCAGTCAGACGTATCAATGCTATTAGGAACTTTGTCAAAATGAGTTAAATCAAGTAGAGCTGTATGCATAAAACTTGCGTCCTCTGTTAAATTCATTTTGATTTTATACATTTCACATAGTTTTATTTACACTTAGCTAATTACAATCAATAGAAATACACACAGTTCAGGGTGTGGCGACGCAACGGAGCCAGGGCATTCAGGCGACGAGAGGTCCTGATTCAGAATTATCTCCTTCAAACGGAAGAGTAGGCCACCGAGGATTACCTTCGCGCACGAATAGTTGTATCTCAACGTTCAGGTAGCTTCCCTCTGCTGCATCTCAAGTCAGGTTCCCGATTCGCATCCCTCCGCTCATTGCGATTGCACTTGCAAACAAGGAAAGAGAAGGAGAGAGAGATAAACTATAACTAGAAATAGGTAACTTGGATTTTGAAAACTAGACTTTACAAATTTGATTTTGATACAAGGAAAAATCTATCACTCGAATCATTACCGCATCGTGCGTCGACGGCTTAAAGTTTCCTCGCGATTGGTTTTTCCCAATTTTTCTCAGGAAGTTACTCTTCTTGAGATGTTTTGCGTTTCTTCCTCGATTACGGATACAATTAGTCGTAAAGATTACTCGATTAATTAGCAGTCGGGTAATTATTGATATACCGTTAATTGTCAAGTAGGAAGCCATTAAGATAAGTATACTCGCTCAAGGAAGCGAAAGGAAACACGGTTGAAATCTGGAGCCGCGTTATTTTATACAACTTTAATTTCAGCTAGTGGTATCGTGAGTAAACTTACCTAGTTTCCTCCTCATCCTGTGGAAGTACATACTCCAAGTCCGTTTCTAGGTCTCTAGATTTTCCCTAATTTCAGCCAAAATTCTTGAGAGATTGCTAGAGTCTCCTGAACTTCCTTTTCTCGACACCTGGCGCAATTCGTTCATCAGTTGGACTGCATTAAAGGAAGAGGCGGGAAGTATACTACAAAGGTTTTTTATTATAAAGCACGGCAGAATAGAAGTAATTGAGAAAGTTCCACGCCCGACGGCGGAAGGAACCTCCATCGAACGTACTTTTGCCAAAAGGCACTATGTCCCTCGTAAAGCATATGCACATAGTTCCTTTTAGCATAAATACATTTGTGGAGCACGGAGACGCCGCACTGGACGGTAGTGTAGAGGAGGCTCGAGTGTCAAAATCCAAAATCAAGTGTTTATCGTTTGCTTCTTAAGCCGTAACAGCCTCAAACGATCTATTTACACTGGATGTTGCCGATTTAATGAAAAAAATACCCGGGTCTCTCGTGATAGTTTGGAAAGCTCTGTGCGATTCGGCAAGGCTGGTGGTGTTATTGCCACTAAAACTTGCTCGTGGAAGTCGTCGCGGCGTCGTTGTAGGGCGACAGGCGACAACGGTTAAACGCTCGTGCGCTCTCGCCTAATTAATATGCCGACGTCCTCTCCACCTCAACCAAATTTCGTCGGCAGAGCTTTACACCTCGTCGACACGGGCCAATTCGTGGACCGTCTATATTGTCGTGCTAAGGAAAAACGTCGTATGGACATTCAAGAGTTGCCAAATTCCCTCGGACAAAACATGTTTTTTAAGGAAAATTATTCATATTTGGGCGTATTTCTGCCAAACGGAACTAAGTGCATTTAGACATGAGCCCTGAGACTCATTATATGCATGCATAACAAGGCTCACGTCATAATGCACCTAGTTCCGTTCGGCAGAAATACGTCCATTTTTCTTTGAAATTTTCAGATATTTTAGATCGAATTGCAAACAAATATGTTAGAAAAATTTGAAGAAAAATACTAAATATTTTCCGAGGAAGTAAGGTTTTTATTGAAGGAAACCTGGCAACGTCTAAAGGCTCATACGGCGTTTTTCCTTAGCACGGTAGCATAAGGGTAACCTCACTTCTTGCTTCGCCCAACTATAGTTTCACTGGAGTTGTAACTAGTTCGTCGGTCCATTGGACTGCACGCAGTTTTCCCTACTATACCACTTTGCTCACCCGAAGATCGGGATTTTTTCGCCCTCGCACATATATGTACAAGCGTTACCTGAGTATGTTTTCGAAAAATAGAATTTTTCAACGTTAGCGTTCCCCAACATTTAACGTTGCACCCTATCATCGTTGGCCTCCGCCTTGGAATCAGAAGGCCCGATGTGTTTTTGCTAGAATGGAAAATTACAACACAAAGGTTCAGCTTTCGATTGAACTCTTAGATTTGCAGAAAGCTCGCCTGTTATATATTTATATAGTCTTCCCTCCGTTTAGTTGAAAATACCTAAGCATCCTTTAACCAGTCGTAGTCAGTTCATCGGCTTTGTATTCCCTTTACCGCAAGTAAATGTAGCGCTTTTTGATTAGAAGAACTCGCGTCCTATAGGTATATCTTTCTGTCTTCTTCAAATTAACTCTTTTTAAATTTGCGATTGTTTCAATTTGTTCAATGCATACTTTTGGGACTCGAAAAAGCGTGAATTAATAGCTAGACCTTGGGTAAGTACAACTTGAATTTGAACACGACTCGTTTTGGGAAGCAGGGCTTACTCGGTGCCCCTTGAACGTCCGATTTCAGCCTCAACTGAGACGAGACACTCCATTTACAAAAGGAAAAAATTAAAACAGCAGGGGAGAAGCTGATTTGAGTTTTCCTTTAATTTTAAGTCTCGTGGAAGGCAGCTGAATTCGTTTCATTCTGATATGCCTCCTATGAATTGATTTGAACAGTGAACGTTAAAACTCTGCTCGTCTTATTCGATCCCCAAACACGATCAACTCTCATGGAGAAGTTTCAGCATTACTCATAACGAAAAAGTTCCTACTTTCACTTTCTCGCTGGTTAAAAAAGTTCAGAGTAGCTCTTTGAAAAAATCGGAAAAATTCACACCCTGAAGTGTCAACTTTTTTCCTTCTTTAGGATCTTCAATATGGCGGGAAAAGGGGGTGTGGGTTTAACAAATTAGAGCTTAGAGCGAGCATGACATGTTTCACTCATTGTCTGATAAGCTCTTGCTCGACCAATTTGTAAGCAGTATATTTTACTTCATCTGATAATGTGTTCCTGAATTTATTTTGTCTCCAAAAATTAGACACTCCTAACTTGCCTTTTTTTCTTTTTGTGCAGGTGATGAGCCAAGACGTGAAGAAAGAAAATCCACTTCAGTTCAAATTCCGAGCCAAATTCTACCCTGAAGACGTAAACGATGAAATCATTCAAGACATCACTCTTAGATTATTCTATTTACAGGTGAAGTATATTAATGAATTGCCTCCTTTTAACCAGAGTATGAATTACATACCAGTATTTTGAGACTGCTTCACTTTCCATAATTTCGGGTTCGGATGAATCTATTCTATTGATGATTATAGTACTTAAGTAATATATTTCCTGTTACTTCAGCTCCTGAAGACCGAATTTTGATTCTTATAAGAAAAAAAAAGGAGCATAGTTTCATATTATACTTCAAAGTAAAAGTCTGTGAATTTAATGACTTTGAAACAATGAATCCGTCTCCTCGAGTGTTCATGAGTCTAGAATTTCCGAGAAGTCCGAAAACAGCACTGATTTTTTAAGGGCGGTTCGAAAATACTGAAAAAGAGCGGAAATTCCGAAATTTTTCCTCGTGCCAAGCATGTTTTTTAATGAAGTCTGGAAAGTATGCAATCCCCTGCACTGATTCTTAGAGTAGTATTTGCCTACAAGATCGCAATTGTGCCGTCAGTTAATCTTTAAGCCACCGATGAAATTTTGTGGCGGCTACGTCATTTTTGTCGCAATTTGAGCGAGAATTTCAGATTATCGAAATTTTTTGAATTGCGTCAAAAGGAGGTACCTACTGAAAAAGTACTGAATTTCTTCGAATGTACTGAAAAAATACTGATTTTTGGCCATCCTGTTTTAGTAAACACCCTGTAACAAGAAAGCACGATAAGATGGTGTTTCACATTGTCAGGCGTATATATTCGACGTATATTTGCAATAGCCTAGCCAAATGTTTCAGTAGTCTACTGTTGATAGTCACAGGTTAACCACTCGAAATGCCACAATGTTCACTCAGCATGTTCCTTTTTCCTCATGCGCTTGAAAAACTTTAATCCTCTAAAACTTGTGCTCATAAACTGTTTTAATTTCCTTTCAGGTCAAAAATGCCATTTTGTCCGATGAAATATATTGTCCTCCTGAAACGTCAGTTCTTCTGGCATCATACGCTGTTCAAGCGCGTCATGGAGATTTCAACAAAGCCCTTCACACTTCAGGTTTTCTTGCCAGTGATAGACTTTTACCACAAAGGTAATTTCTCTTTGGAATTACAAAAAAGCTATTGAAGTTTTAAATGTATGTAGCAAATGGTGGATATTGAATGAAGATCTAAGCTCTGCAAATACAACTCTCATTGAACTCAGTTGTTCTTGAAATACTTATTTCCTCAAATTGTTCACCGTACATCAACGGTTGGTGTTAACTGACAAGGGGAGCTTCCCAAGTGTAACCGGAATTTCGAGTTGAAATTTCGCATGAAGATACTAGAGATGATTTTAGGGATGCCGTATTTTTTCGTTTTTTCGAATGGGGTCGGGAAAGCCCTCAAAAAAAGGGCTAAAGATGCGGAAAAAACGCGTGCGCTAGCGGCACAAGGTAAACATAGGTGATAGAGGCTCTGAATCCTCATCAGTACCGCGTGGCCAAACGGTAGCGCGCTCGCCTCGCAGGCGGGAGGTCTTGGGATCGGATCCAGAATACAGCTCGTATTTTATTTTACTTTATGCTTGTTTCTTTTTCACTTACTTTATTTTGCACCATTTGCTCCGCAAACCGACTTACGAAGTAGAACACGTAGTGACTGAAGATTTTTTACATATGCTGATAAAAAATCGAAGTTTCTCTTGGATTGAAACGTAATATATAATTGAATAAACAAAACACTCTAAAACCCACCAAATTTCGTTGCCAAGCTGAATTTTCGGAGTATCAGTCGAATCATCTGACTCGTCGGTTTGCGGAGCGAATGGTGCAAAATAAAGTAAGTGAAAAAGAAACAAGCATAAAGTAAAATAAAATATGAGCTGTAATTAGGGTCCGATCCCAGGACCTCCCGCCTGCGAGGCGAGCGCGCTACCGTTTGGCCACGCGGTACTGATGAGGATACAGAGCCTCTATCACCTATGTTTACCTTGTGCCGCTAGCGCACGCGTTTTTTCCGCATCTTTAGCCCTATTTTTGAGGGCTTTCCCGACCCCATTCGAAAAAACGAAAAAATACGGCATCCCTAAAATCATCTCTATTATCTTCATGCGAAATTTCAACTCGAAATTCCGGTTACACTTGGGAAGCTCCCCTTGTGAGCTTAACGGCCTCTTTATGTTGGTACATGATCTTAGTAACATCCGAATAATTTTCGTATTTTCTTCCCTCAAGTAGAAATAGCTAAAAACTTAGGTAAATGTTTAACTAAATAGCAGTTTTCATCTTTTTCAATATGATGAAAAAATTATCCGAAAGATTCATAGAAATCGTTTCTTCTTATGAAAGCTAATGGATCTGATTTTAGTTCTATTCCTCTCATCATTATCTCACTCTTTGTTTCAATGAGACATCTTGAAACATATTTTGGGTGGCATTTACTCACATTAGTATTAATAATTATACTGTATATTTAATAATAATATTTTAATATACTAAAAGTCTCGTTAAGGCTTTCTAACTTGCAGCTTGAAGGCTATGGAACAATACTGTTTAACTGACTTTTTTGGCGCAAATGAGTTAGCAACTTTTCCACATTCTACATTATTGAGTGAGTAACTTGTCATTAGTTTCTGTGTATTTTTCGAAGAAATTGAACTTTATCTGATTCCGCATGAGAGCGCTGTGATGCGTTAATGTGTAGAAAAAATTGCCACCCCAACCTCAAAATTACAAAAATAGCAAAGTTTTTTCTGCATCCTGTAAAATTATCAGTTTCTAGACAAGCGATATTATTCCGTAGTAATTGAATTGTATCTTGTTAGTAGATCAGTGCCAGTTGCCTAATTTTTTTGGTTGCGTTTTTTAATCAATTTCAGAGTCATGGATCAACACAAAATGTCTCGAGAAGAGTGGGAACAAAGTATCACAACTTGGTGGAATGAGCACCGTGCAATGTTGAGAGAAGATGCCATGATGGAATACTTAAAAATTGCGCAAGACCTAGAAATGTACGGAGTCAATTATTTCGAAATTCGAAACAAGAAAGGCACTGAGCTGTGGCTTGGAGTTGATGCTCTAGGTCTCAACATTTACGAGAAAAATGACAAGTAAGTACCGCAAAATTGCATTTTTTAACGTACTGATCAGTATGATGTTTTACCTCAGAAAATGTCACAAGTTTATCATGCGTTTATGCAGCAGTACATCGATTTTCTCAAGTTTAAAGTGATCATTGCCTAAACATTATATCAAATTTTACTTTGATATTGGTGAGGAAATTTCCTAATAATCGATCAAATATCGAAGAAACATTCGGTGCACCCACAAATTGATCCCAAATCCCACAATTTCATTTGACTAGTTCCGATAACTCATTTCTGAGATGAATACAATGTATGACTTCGGAGCTCTGAGTTCTTTGACAATGACAGGTGTAGGTATAGCCTCATTTCATGTGAAGTCATTGATGTTGAGTGGCCAATTAATGATCTCGTATTATCTCTGGGTACTCCTCTGTTTTATTAACCTCATTATGAGTTCAGCTGCCTTTATCGCTCCCTGCAGCCTTGGAGTGATTTATGATTTGCTTCAGAATTTATGAAAGTAAATTCCTCATCTGGCGTTTCAGTTTTTATCCTGGGCAAGATTAGTGCTAGATAACTCATAGATACTTACTTTATCATAAAATATGTATCATCATTGAAACCCTATTTGAACGCATATTTTCAGAATCATCTTCTGATGCATCCAGTAAGATGTGGAACCATGAAATCTTTAATTTTAAAAATAAAGACAACATTAGAGGGAAGTTATGTAAGTGTAACGTCTTTTTTGTGTGAACCCTGAACAATCCATTCTTGCTGCATCAATTTTGTTTTGAGTTGAAGATTCCTACCAGCATCCATTTTCCAATCCTACCATTAGTTAACCCATTGACTTATGATTTAATTTGACCCTGCCGGGCCAGGAATTACGATTTAATTTGGCGAAAATCAGCAACTTTGAAGACTCCAAAATAATCCAAAAATTATTTCTCAAAGGATGAAAATTGACAAAATAAGCATTCACAATATAACGTTTGAGAAAAATGGTGAAAACTTTGAACACAATGATTTTTTTATGTGGTTTGTAGCTGTCAAAATCGCAAAATCAGCGAAAATCAGAAAATTTTGAGGTTATTTCATGTGCAAACGCACAGTAATATGAAAATACCGTAGCAAAACAAGAAATTACCGTACACAATAAGTCATAGGGTGGCCACACTACTCATATAAACATTGATGAGAACGCAATCTACCAGAATTGCCGAAATAACGCAAACAATCAGCGGACGGCTCTGAGCCGTCATTTCAGAGCTGGCCCAGCGCTGCAATGACGGCTGGGAGCCGTCATTTTAAGTCAATGGGTTAAGAGTGTGTTATTACTGAGAATTTGGAAGCATTTCTTTCTCATTCATTATTGTGTCCATTTGAATTTGTGTTACATTTCCATGGTTACCAAGAGTTTCCCCTCATTGAATGGTTATCCCCATCATATCTGGAGTTATTTTTGTTAAATTTCCTATTTTTTCTCTTGCATTTCATTTATTTCCATCTGTTAACTGGATGTTGTATGAAATTCCCCCTCCCTTCCTCATTCAACTGCACTTCTCCGACTCCGGTTTTTCTTTAATTCGATTATGGATTGTCTGAAGTTTCAAGTTTCAAAAATTGTGAAACCAAAGCTCATTATTTGCCGCCAAATTTCAAGTGAGTCACAAATTTCAATTTTTCTTTGTTTTTTTTTTTAGGTTAACGCCAAAAATTGGTTTCCCTTGGTCGGAAATCAGGAACATCTCGTTCCATGATCGCAAATTCATCATCAAGCCGATCGACAAGAAAGCACCAGACTTTGTGTTCTTCGCCCCAAGAGTCCGTATCAATAAGCGTATTCTAGCTCTGTGTATGGGCAATCATGAACTTTATATGCGGAGACGTAAGCCGGACACAATTGATGTCCAGCAAATGAAAGCACAAGCAAGAGAAGAGAAGATGGCAAAGCAGCAACAAAGGTATTTCAGTATTCGAGGCTTATTTATTTCTTTAGCCGAGGGGGCAAGCTCTTAAAAAATCTGAGAAGGTCCATTGAAGATTGTTGACAAAACCTAAAACTAAAGGAAATTATACTTGAAACACATGATCAATTACTTATATATTATCTTAATAACGCAAGTTGTCGGAACAGCCATATCTTTCCATCTTACCTGCGACCAGAGGAAAGATGGAAGCTATTAGCATGGACTCTGTCATAACATAAAAAAACAGACATGAATGTAAAATTTAGAACAGCCCAGTACCCATCTTCTCTTGACAAATCAGTTGTCACACTCATAATGTGGCACCTTGTTCAGAGCTGCCTTTACATCATTAGTTGTACCTTCATGTCCAACATACATAAAAACAATTAGTGTGCCCTACAATCACCAAAGTTAACAAGCTTGAGTTTCTGTTCAAACGGGTTGAAAAGCTCAGAAAATTTCTTCTAGTGATTTTGGCATTAATTTTATTCACTTTTTTTCCAGGGAAAAACTGCAACTAGAAATTGCTGCTCGTGAAAAGGCTGAAAGAAAACACCAAGAATACGAGGAGAGATTAAAGGCAATGCAAGCAGAAATGGCCAAACGTGAACAAGATTTACTAGATGCTCAGGTCAGTGTTTGATTTATGATTTTTTTTTTTTTTTTTTTTTTTTTTTTTTTTTTTTTTTTTTTTTTTTTTTTTGCAATGAATATAATTATAATTCGAAAAGTATTGAGGTTCTGGAAAGGTGTGAGTAATTTTGCAGAAAGTAAATTGTTAGGGACATCGTCGCTATCTACTTCATAGTTTACATATTCTAGAATGTAACCGCTGCATTAACAATTAAGCTCATAAAATAAAAAAAATTGAAAAAGTTAACAGTAAAATCCAAATGAAGTCCTTGTTTTGATTAGTGTTGTTTAGTCACGCTAACTTGCTCTCTTTACCTATAAGATGTGCCAGTTGTTGAATTATCTCTAAGCTCAATACGTTTGAGGAAAAAAACTTCTTTTTCTGTAGAGCATGGCTAATGTATGAACCACAATGAAAATAAATGTAACTTAACTATACCTAGGACCAAACAAACTGGAAGCAAGACTGCTCGCACTATTGTTTTTACGAGCTTGTTTTAGTTCTCCAATAGCATGATCGTGTCTGAGGCAAAGCACACGTTACTTCAGAAAGCAGAAAATCGTGGCTGTGCTGAAGGTTGTGAGCAGAATTTGTGACCTGAATTTCATCAGTTCTGTTGCTTAAAATTGTATTTCTTGACACCTTGAACAAGAAACTGTTGTCAACTGTTGACACTGTTCATTATAATTTTAACAAATTCCCATCCTTCCTTAATTGTATTAAAATTTAGCGCTAACATTACTAGAAATTTTTGGAGATTTTTGTGCTTCAATAGTATAAGCCTTCGTTTCCTAGACAAAAGAATGTAACTTTATTTCAATATTGTGAAATTTGCACTAGCATACTGTGCTTTTACTAGCATTCTGTCGAGAATTTCAAGAGAAACTTTCTCAGAATTTTCTTTTGATCCCAAACAAAATCAGGGAAATTTTTGAAGGAAACAGCGCAGTCGTATTTGTGTGGAAAATAGATTTGTTTGGGTTGATTCTGCATCCTTGGAATGGAGTTACGTTCTTTCGCCTGAAGGATGACATCCACACAGCCTTCCTTTTTACTCCTTTGTTGTTCTTTTCTTAAGTACGATCCACTGCTAAGCCACAGGATCATAACTGAACCTTAATGCCCTCTATAAAATTTAATTTTTTGCACACAGGATATGATAAAGAGATTAGAAGAACAATTAAGACAACTGCAGGCCGCCAAGGAAGAACTTGAAACTAGACAGAACGAATTACAAGCAATGATGGAGAGGCTTGAGGATGCAAAGAATATGGAAGCAGCAGAACGTCAGAAATTAGAAGATGAAATCCAGGCTAAACAAAATGAAGTGAACCGCATCCAGACTGAAGTAGACCTCAAAGATGAAGAAACACGCCGCTTGCAGGTCAGTACTGAATGTTCATTAGCAACCTTCAAATTGAAGGAACGGAACCTTAGGCGTGTCTTTTCGCAGCGTCTGGACGCCGGCGGAAAACTTTGTTTCCGAGTCGAGGGCGAGAAGATGCTCCTATTTTGGAGCTCAGCGCCTTAGGAGCGGAATTCATGGATTTTTTCCACTGCGTTCGCTGCCAATTTCTCTTCATTGATCAGACAGTATGCTTTGAGCCGGAAAAATGGCTGCACGTGCTTGCAGGAGGGTATGGATTTGATCGACAAAAATCGACCAAAAAATAATAACGTGAATTGATCAAAATTGATGCAATGGACAAATTATTAAATAACCGGTGTTGATTCGATCGACATGAATCAATCGACATGAATCGATCTAAAAACCAAAACGTGAACCAATTAACGTAATTAGATTGACTCACAGCTTGCTCAATCGATTCACGGATTTGTCGATCGACTCACAGGTTTGTTGATTGATTCATGAGTTTTTCGATCACTTCACGACTTTTGTTGATCGATTCACAGCTTTTGTGATTGATTCGCGGGTTGGTCGAACTATAATCATTCGAAAATTGGTAGGAAAGGCAGCGGACTGAGCGGAATTTGTCGGCGTCTCCGCTCCGATCTGTTGGCGACAGATCAGAGCGTCCTCCATCGGCGTTTTCTGCAGCGTCTCTCCATCGCTAAGGTGCCATCCCCACGCAAAATCATCACGCAGATTTATCGGATTTAGCGGCGTCTGGACGCCGCGGAAAGACGCGCCTAAGGTTTCATACTTTGAAGTTCCCTCTCCTGTACAGTGAGGTCTGTTCAGCACCGTGCAGACTATTGAAGACCATCAATGCTGAGAAAAAATCCGTTTGTTGTATGAATGGATTACATTCTCAACTTTAACTCAGTTCTTCACTATGTTTAAAATATAGTGCAACTTAATCAATGCAATGTATATAGTATAATTCTACCATGATAATGTCGTAGTTCTTACTCCTTGTTGTCTATTGTTAGTTAAAACTGGAAAATATTGGGAAATTTCATGTTGTCAGGAAAAATTAACAAAAAATCTGGAAAATTGGTTTTGGATAACAAAATTCTTAGTGCGCTAAGCACTTCTCAACTACATACGAAACTGAAACATTTGGTTTGATTCTTTAATTATGTTGGTTCGTGGAACCAAATAGTTGTCAATTTAACTGCGCAAAAAATTAGGGAATTTCATTTCAAATAACAGGAAAAATCAGGAAAATCAAAAATGAAATTTTAGTATACACCTTTTCACTGCAACACAAGAAAAATCTGATCCTCTAATCCTCCGTTCATGCCGAATTGGAGAAAAATTTCCTGTTTACTGTGGTTTTCAGGATACACTCAATTCCCTTTCCCTCAAAAACTGAGTGATTGGTTTGCGTAAATTTTCAGTGGTGTAATCAGGCTATTTATTCCATGACTCTGGACTCTTTACATGGTCTTTAAATTTTAATGATTGCACTAGTGATCTTATTACTTATTATATTTTTGCTCCAATTTTATTAAAGTGCAAACATAAAAATGCACAGTTTGTATTCACACCGTTTCGACAATTTTATTCTCCAGGAGGAAGTTGAACAGGCACGACAGAAACAAGAGGAAGTTAAGGCTGCATTACTGGCAGCAACTACAACTCCCCAACACCACCACGTCGTAGAAAATGAACATGATGAAAATGACGATGAAGCTATCAATGGGCAAGTTTCAAAAGACTTAGCAACGGATGAACACATTGTTGACCCCGTAGAAGAAAGACGAACCTTAGCAGAACGTAATGAACGTCTCCACGACCAGCTCAAGGTATGTTTTTTATTGCAAACATGAATTTTGGAATCATGAAGGTAAAAAGATGGATTTTAGAGAGATTTAAGAAGGTTGGTTTTTGTCAGTCTATAACACAGGTCATCAGTTTTTATCAAACATTCATTACTGTACTTGTACAGAATATACAGCTGTAATGAAAATTCGATGGCGGAAGTGCAAAACCTACAGTGTTTCAAAATTGCCGCTCTCATTTTATTGCTTCAGAGAGAAACCAGCCAACTTTATTACTCAAAATTTATACAGAATATTCTGCTAACAGAGAAGAAAAGTCAAAAAAGTTTTTGTTGGATTCTGGAAAGATTTTGTTGAATAGTTTACTGTTTGTTGATAAGTTAAGTTTTTTCACAGCAACACGAAATAATTAACTCAACATTTTAAAACAAATAAATAATCACCATTATTCATTCAACACGTTTTATAAAAAATAAAAAACAGGAAGTACCTTAGGTTAAACAATTCCATCAGAAAAAAATAGCATGTATAAATCCATGAGTGATTGCCAAGGAACAGCCAAAGCGAAAATAGGACGGGGCATCTCACCTGTTGCGTCCAACATTCAAATCTCCGCCATGACGTTTTCTCACCTGTTGTTACTTAAATCTCCCGCCATACCAATTGAAATACGCACTGGTGCAGGAGGCGAGAACAAAGAGATGACGCGTCATGGTAGCAGCGAAATAGATCTAGGAAATAGAAAAACAGCATATGCCTCGCGCTGCTCTTATGCATTTCCGTTTTTTACTGCTCCCGGGTAAACGGACCGTTAAGAGAGAACACTCCTAGTCTATGTCCTGACAAAGCGAAAAAGGATCGCGGGGCAGAAAACCCGGCATAAATCCATCCAGCGGTTCGGGGGCCTATTCGTTTCGAAACATCTCGTTTCGGATTTATGTATATTTTAGTTTACATGATACTGGAATTTCTCGCAAGTATTTACTCCTTAAGAGATTTTCTTATGTATATACTGAATTTCTATTTTCTTAATTGAATGTTTGAAGAATTGAAGGATATGCATGAAAGATGAAGCAAATGGTTACAAACCATTCGCTTAAAATGATTAGAAACTAAGTTGATTTAGCAGAATGGAATTCATAATCTTTGTTTTCCAACCCTATTACACGCAAAGTTGCCTGATACATTTTTGCTTGAAATGGTGGCCGGTAATCTTTAATTGAACTGCGGTCAAGAGTTTTCAGACTCAGCGCATTATAATGGCGTCTCTCTGAGTCACTACCATCCACTGCAATATTGTTAAAAATATTTGATTTTTCAGTTGTCATAATTTTTGTCGCAGAAAAATCATCGTAACATCCCGTATTTAAAATTATATTAATCTGCAAATTGTATTCATATTCCACATTCAATACAATTCCTAACTTATCAATTATGTTTAATGGTTTTTAATTAATCATGTTGAGCCAAATATTCTCATCTGGCTAGCCGAGACTAACAGCAGTAGCCTACCATTAGCAAACAGAACATGGACAACTGTCGATACACCCATTCCAAATGTTATGCTCTCATTTACACCAAAATCATTAAGTCTGATTATTCTAATTTTTGTTCTATTCAGGTAATAATAGAAAGCAGTTTTATGTTCGAAAGTTACTCTGATCGCTTTTAATTAGTTGTGTTAATAATGTTCTTTCGGTTTTTCCTTTCAGATGTTGAAACAAGATTTGGCTCAATCCAGAGATGAAACAAAAGAAACTGCCATGGATAAAATTCACCGAGAGAATGTACGTCAAGGGCGTGATAAATACAAAACGTTACGTGAAATCCGCAAAGGAAACACCAAACGTCGGGTTGATCAGTTCGAAAACATGTAAAATGGACTAGATAAATGAGAAATACGTAAGAAATTAAGTTGTTTTTGTGTATAGAAAATATCAACACCCGACGGTTCTAGTTGTTGAGTGTTGACCATTCCAAGTCTCAAGTCTGTTGTTATTACTAGATATATTTGCTTTGCTCAGGTATACAAATGAGTATTTGACTGCATAAGCAAATATTTTACTGTGGCTGCTTGTTTATTCAGCGTTTGTGTAAATATATATACATATCTGGATTTGGATGAGCTGTGTATTTTCGTGGTAAATTCCAAATCAGAATTTGTGGATTTATCATCAAAGTCGATATGAAACTTCACTTTTCCGTTTTTAATAATTTATTTCTACAGATTACTTGATGAGGATTTTTAAAGCATTCACAAATGCTCATTGTATACATTTTTCAACATTTTGGGTGTTCGGGTGATTTCCCAGGATTTGCTGCAAAAATGCTATATTTGTTCGTGTAATCTTCGCTGAACTTGCCAACTGCACGAGTCAATTATTTTGAATTTCAAATCCACATAACTTATCAAAATCCTGGTTATTAAAAATGTCTGAAAGTGTCAAAAGCATTTTTAATTTTAAAAGAAGACACTCAATCGTTGAATGTATCTTGCATAACAAGATTTAAACGGAAACTTTTAATTCATCGCAATGCATGAAAATAGTTTATTTTAGCAAGAATTTTCTTTTGTAAATATTATTAATCAAATCTGCGATCAAATTTGAGAATGATGTAGATTTTAACTAATTTATTTTGATGGAAAAGTGGCCTCTCAACATTAAGCAGTTTGCTCTTTACGAGTGAGAACTTTATCTCGGCTATTTTTGAGGCATTTTGGTTTTTAGAACTGATAGTACAGGTGATATATTTTCAGCTGTAAATAGTTTTACCTTTCTGTTCCTCGTTGAACTTGAGATGTAAAAAAATTTTAAGTTTTTTCCCCCTTATTTTCATGTGTATTTTTACTTTCTCTTCATTTGAACTTTCATAGGTTTTGCTTCTTACTTTACCTACAAAAACTGAAAGGGTTACATATTTCTAAGTTGAGTCTTCCATACTAAAGCTAAAAATCACCGAGCAAAAGTTCTGATGGGTGAAAGCTTCTTGATAATTTTTTATCCTTTTTTATTTTAAAAAGAAAAATAAGTAAAACTGAAGATCACAGATTTTAAGTGTGTATTTCATGTTAGGATCGTAAAAGCATATTGAAGTTTAAGGATCTTGAATGCGGTCTAAAATCCTGGCAACCTTAGAAATGGGAGCCAAAATAAAATAAGAAGATGAAACTCTTCATCAAGAGTAAAGTTCATTTGCCATAGATTACTAGTTCTTCTCCCCTCTCTCGTATTTTTTCATAATATTTTGAGATGTCTGCATTTTTAATTGATTTTATTTATTTATTTTTTTCTTTTTGATTCTGTCAATGAACAGACAAACTAAAGACGTGGGACTGATATTTTAGAAATAAACCTTTCATTTTTTCCTCCCTCTCCTCTTTTTTGTTTTTTACTTTCTCTTCTTTCATAGGACCACTACCCTATGGAGTTCTTTTATGGTATAATACTATTATTCTCACATTTATTATACTATCATTATTATTTTTGTAGGTATATTCACAAACATGATTAATTTTACTATAGATTAATTAATTAGTAGGTGTAATGTATCCTTTGTATTATTATTTTAATTTTCGTATTCATTATTTGCATTCTAAGTTTAAGTTGTATCTTAAGTGGTCTTCTGTCTCTTGTCTCCTTTATTTATTTATTCTCTTTATTTTTTATTTTTTTTTCCATTTTTAGAACTCTTCTTGTCCTTTTTTCCAAGCTATCTTTTCTTCAACTATTTTCTGGTTTTATACTCAACAATTTTTTTTATTTCATTCGGGTATGCATTGAAGAGTTTGTGCTCCTGCATATTTTATTTAAATTAACTACAAATCTTCGGTTTTGAAACGTTTTCATGCTGCTGAAGTTATTTTCAGAATACATTTTTTAATCCTAATTAAAAGTTTCAGTCAACATTTTTGTACATGAAGGTAAATGGATCAAATGTGACTTAATTTATTAATATAGCGGATGAATTAAGAGAAATTCAAATGGCGTATTATATACCCGTGTGCGTTAAACCATACCTTCTCATCTGTTGAATTTTTTCTCAGAGATGAAATTTGCTCCTAAGGCTAAGCGGAGAAATTATGAGGTAATATATCCATGCAAACCAAAGTCATATCAGTTTAATAATTCAATTTCGCCTTTAGTATTCACTGCCTTTGCTTTTAGATGCACACACATTTCTTTTTGCTGTTAGTTACATCCATTTCATCCTAAGACTCAGGAACCATAATGAATGGAACATGAAACAAAAATTGGTAAAAATTACTGGTGTCAGTGTTATGCCACCAAATCATAGTTTTGCCATTAGGATGCTAGATTTTCTTACCAATATCCTTCACCCTAAAGATTTTTTACAGGCAGGATTCTCTCATTGAAGAATCTGAGCATTTAAATAAAATTCTATTTTGGAAAATATTATGAACAATTTTTTAACTAATTTTTGTAATCAGTCTAAGATGTATGTGCCGTCCATTTTCACTCTCAATTCTTGAAATGATATGTAGGATTGCTGTGAATTTTTGCCTTATTTAAAATCAGTCTCATATAATGATGATGCTAGGTTTGATTTAAGTCAATTTTATTTCTGTCACTCTCTCATAAAAAAGGAATTAAATAATATGACCTGTTAAGTAGAAGAGTAATAAATAATTATCCAGTAATATCCGGAAAGACCCTTCTTTCCTGTAATTAATTCTCAATAACTCAGCTGCCGGAAATTTGTGTACTTAAAGTTAAAGGTCAGAATTTTCCTATATTCTCTCAAGGGCTCTAAGTGTGATCCTCTGTTTTGGTTATTGTTGTAAAATGCATGAAGTGGCCTTAAAATTTATATTTTTATCTTGTTATAATTAAATTTTAGTGTGTATAAAATGCATTTTTCATTTTGTGGCGTGATAATAAGGTGATCAAATTAGTAGTTAACATCTTGATTCAGTTAGACCTCCATCATAGAATAATGGGGGAACTTTTATGGAAAAATGATAAAATGAGGATGATTCACCTCCAGAAATTTTCCTAAGCCAGCTGTAGTTTAAGGTGCATCCAAGTTCTAATTTCATAAATTTTTTTTTTTTTCGCTTGCAATTTTTTTTTAAAACCAATATTTTCCTAGTACTTTCAAATCATAGTGCCAAAAACAATTTCCCCACTTAAAATTTCCCTAATTTTCTCAATTTTTTTTATCCTTGGAAAATGTTTCATAACTCAAAATATGGTTTACATTTATCTTGCTCATAGGCCCTTCACTTTAAACCAGAATTTTTCACTAGGTTTTTTTCTGTCTCTATCAGCATCTCCCCAAAAAATCTGTTACTTGTAATTCCAAACTGTAGGTGAAATTTTTTTTGTAAACTTTGTTAAATATATGTATTTTTATTTAAATTTGACATTTTATTTGGAACATTTTTGAAATCTTCCTTTCAATAGAGGTGAAAAATTAGCTTCCTCTTTGTTAAGTTTTTCAAACTGACATCTTTCGTAACTTAACTACGCACGTCAACTCAAAGTTAAATGAAGACTGCAAATGAGGAAATAAGCTATCAACATAATGAATTTTATTTGAAGTGGGGTTATGTTTTTTGCTGCTTTTTTTATTCTATCTCTTAGTTTCGATCATTAATAAACTTGGAATTTGTGCAGTTGAAATTCTCGTAATTAGCAGCATTCAAAATTTTAAGATCACATACGTTGAAGGGAGAAACCAACAAAAGTCAAGTTTATATAGTTTTTCTCATCATCATAGTATAGTCCCCCGAGAAATCCCTAATTTTATAATTATATTCTATAAATTACAGATCTTTTTGCAAAGTGAGTAATGTATAAACCTTGAGTTAGTTGCACTCTTTGTAACACTCATCTTACCATTATTTTAAACACATTGCCAACGTGCCTTCTTTTTCTCATTTCGCTTAATTATTTTGTAAAATGCACTCTTTGCATCAATCGTTTTCATTCAATACTTTCATTTGCACTAACAACATGTGTTCTTGTGTTAATTTTGAACAAAATATGTGTGTTCGGGATTCATACATGTCGACCCAATCTTGTTAGTGTAAGTGTCTGTGTTCATGTACGTATGTACAGGCATACCTACATTTTAAGATTTTCTAAAAAAAGGAAAGTATATATTATGTAAATAATTGAAAATTAATGCTGTGCCCTGTAATCAAGTAATCTGGTATGAATTTAATTCTTCCAACAAGCATTTGTTATAAGTATTGATTCGTGATAAGGTGTAAATTTTGAAATTTAAATAAAATTGATTAAACGGGGATGTCTTATCCTATTTTTTTTTTAAAAAAAAAGACAGAAGACTCAGAGATTATATCTTTACAAGTTGTTTGTTGACTGGTGGATCAAACTTCTTCTTACTTACATCAGACCTTCAAGTACTGAATGTCTAAAATAAGTTTTCTTTATTTGCTCTCTCTTAGAGCTGATCCAACTGCACTTATTTATCAAGGTCAACTGCGTACCTCAGAATTTTCATGCAGCTGTGATCAGAACACTGATAGCTGAAGTTTTCCTGATAAAATTAATTTTTGAAGTTTTTTAACCATCTGCTTAAAAAAAAAAAAAAAAAAAAAAAAAAACTGTGTAAAACCCTGTGGTTTACATATAACTAAGATGCAGATCACTTCTCTGATCATGACGGATGGGTCCCATTAATCATTAATTAGGAAAACTTCAGCTTTCACATCAGCGATTAAAGGCACATTTATCAGACATCATCAATGATATTGAGAGTTACAACACTTATCTCGGACGCATCGAGTCAGGAGTGGACAAAATCAGACCTGTGACAAAAGGAAGCAAGATATCTCAGCAACTTGTAAACCAAATTTAAAAAACTATAATAATGCACTATAAAGCTGAAAGTACGGTCAGAATTTTTTATGAATTTACTAAATCTGTCATACTTTTTAAGATATAAAAGAAGAAACTTACTTCAGAATTTTTCTTTGTGCGTACCCTGTGGTAAGTTCTATGGTAGAGTCGCCAATAGAATTTTCACCCCTTGATAGCGTCACTGGAAAGACTGATCACTATGATTATTTTGTCCCAAGACAACTTACGAATAAATGTTTTATTATGACTTGCTTGGCAGGCAGCTCATTAAAGGTATCTTATTGGCAAAAATATCTCACAACTTTTTTTAAGGATTCCAATGCCACCTGAAATTAAATGTTAAAATGAATAGAGGGCACCAGAAAATCACAGAAAAAGAATGCTTCATCCATGGAAATTAAAATAAATTTTCCCTTCTGTCCGAATAAACTTTATGCTCTAATTTGAATGCCATCCAGCTGTGTTCTGTAAATATCTGTAGTTTTGCTTTAAAGGAGCATTCTTTTTATGTTTTCCATACCTCCATGTGTCAGAAAGAATTTTGCACCATAATCCACAACTTAGCAAACTCCTTCTCCTACATTTACTCTTCAAAAATATAAGGTCTAAGTATCTGATTCCAGAAGTAAAATATCTTTTTTAATTTAAATATGACACGTAGAACTTTTCAAAAATATCTGAGGAATAAAGATGAAGAATAATACACAAAACAAAAATTAGCCCGTATAACTCAACTGAAAAACACATGAAAAAGAGCAACCAAGACTAAGAAAAAAAAAACGAACAGAATGCCTGGGATGTTTCAATAAATCTAATTAAGATGAAGGAATATATCCTCAATGTTTTTCTCAGAAGTTGCTTCAGAACTTCTGAAGGGACTTATGGAATTGACATCTTCTCCCTCAACTAATTCATCGGAAACGTCTGAAATAGAAACTGGAAAATTTGCATAATAAGTACAATAAACTGATGGAAACATGTATTTGAATATGAACGGATCAAATCTCACTGCTCAGTAAAAGTGGTATCACAATCAATAATTAGAGCAAGTACTTTTTTTGAAATGGAGGGTTATTCAACACGTGATTTACTACAGTTGATCAGCAAATCGATAAAAACTGGCTCACACCTCTTGCCTCCAAGCAAGAGAGAAGAGAGCCACATTTCAACTGGTGATTTCTATGTCCTTTTTATACATGGTGTTTTTCATAAAAAAAAAAACTCTAAGGACGCCTTTCAGTCTTAAGTTCAATCATGATTCTGAAAGCTGGAGGATTAAATATTTTAAGGAAAATTTCACAATTTTTCTGTCATTTGTGTAGTTTGCTCTTGCCTAAAGATTGGCTGAGCATCTATGAGGGTTGAACTACTGAGTGATAGAGAAGATGAAGTTCTTATCAAGAAAGAAGCTAATTATTCATATTACATTTTAAGAGTTTGGTGATCTCTAGGTTACCACCACTGGCTAGCAACTCGGAGGGCCAGTGGATTTAACGTCACCCTAGAAGAATAGATTTAACTCCACCGAATTCCATGTTGCCTTATTTCTTTTCATGGTTTACTTTTTCAACAGAAAACTAAAAAAGCCTGAAAATTTTTTGTGTACATATCATCAAGAATATACTCTCAGAATTTTAGCCAGAGTGTTACATATCATCAAGAATATACTCTCAGAATTTTAGCCAGAGTGTCGTTAAGTTTAAAGTCACAGATTTTGATCCAGAAGCTGGTCCCAGAGATCCAAGTCTTTAAAGGATGCTTTGTTACTTGAGTCAATAAAATACATTTTGTCAGAGGAAAACCACACTGTCACCTAATGTGACGAGATGATGGGCAACACCAAAGCAGCCACTAATCTATTTTTTCTCTGTTTATAAAGAGTTTTTTTATCTTTTTTAAACATTTAAAAGTGTTCATAAAAAACAGGAAGTATGAAGATTTTTAACACTTTTTTACCTAAATTTCTTCCCCTAAAAATTTCTTCTCAAAAACATACTGAAACAAGAGTTCCGACGTCTGTAGACCTTTACAGTTTCCTTCAGATTCAGAGACATCCATTATTCATTAAAATGTTTTTTTGTCGGAGTTACTTTAATATTCGGCAACACAAGTAGGGGGAATCAGGGGGCCGGTCTCCTCTTCCCCTAGAAATCTACACGCCTCCTTGCCCGAAAATGTAAGGAATTTGGTGAAATAAAAGTGTAACATTTCCGTGCTATTTGAAATTGTAATTCAATTAATTTTTCGGTAAGGACAGCTCAAAATCGCTCCTCCAATTTCTCAATTTCGGCGGGGGCCTTAGAATCCCTTTAGAAGTCAGAGGATTTCCACTCCCCCCCCCCCCCTAACTCCGCGCTTACAGGAAATCCTTGCTGTGTTCATAATATTTGCTACCACCTAATCTGCTGTGCTAAGGAAGAACGCCTTATAAAAATTCGAGAGTTGCCAAATTTCCTCGGATTAAAATATGCATTTTTGAGGAATATTAGGGATATGCTCCTTTGAAATTTTCAATTTAGATTGAATTGCGTAATAAAATTTCCAAAAATTTGGAGATAAATATTTGCAAGTTTTCTAAAAAATTCGTTTTTATCTAAAGAAATTTGGCAATGCCTGAAGGTTTATATACGGCTTTTTTCCATAGAACTGCAGTATTGTACTGCCCCTCTATGGAAGAACGTCATATGAGTATTCAAATGTTGCCGAATTTCCTCCGACAGAATTTTGTTTCAAGGAAAGTTATGCATATTTTCCCCGGAAATTTTTAGTTATTTCAGGCTAAATTGCAAACAAAACTGAAAGGATAATGTTCTGAATTTACCCCGTGAATGCGTCTTTTATCGAGAGAAGTATGGCGATTTCTGGCTCCTGCGACTTTTTTCTTTCGAGCACCGAGCATACTGATCCGGCAACAACGAGGAGCACGTATCAAGTTGGCAACATTGCATCTTCCTCAGACGTGAGTGATGCAACACACACACTCGCGCAGTACAATCAAAACATCGAAACATAATCTTCCTCCAATCAAATGAAATTCCGTTAACCACCGATTGAACTACTTCCTAATCGATGAGTTCATTTATCCTCTTTGCAGAATCGATCTCTTGTTCGAGGAAACCATCAAAATCGAAGTGCGGAAAAATTTAAAACCTACCTAACCATCAGGCCGCAACGCTTCCGATGATAGGTGCCTCCCCCTCTCACAATTTCAGTCGTCCGTGTAATTTTCGGGAAAATGTAACGTCCGCGAACTCGTGTCTCTGATTGTTAAGTTTTGTTTTCTCGAGTTGAAAATTTCTCCGGAAGTTGTTCCTATTTGTTTTAAATTAATTGTTTCGTGTTTAGCATCTTCAGCTTTAGTTTACTATCGTGCGATTCTTGTGAAACGGTTTTCCTCAGATTCCCATCTTAAATTAAATGAAAAGTTTTCGACTGCCCAATTCGACGCGTGATCCTGTTTATCTCATCGGAGTTTCGATCTCTTTATCATTGTGAGTACTCATGCTCCTCACTACTTTCCAAGCCTTTGGCTCTCGTTTATCCCTCACCGCCGCAGTAGGTGAATACCATTCCTCTGATCCATTACGGCCCTCTCACTTCACACCTTGTTGGCACTTGGCACCTCATTTTTGGTTATGGTTATGATCATGATCCGAGATTTGCAAGGATGCTTTTCACAGGTTATCTGGCATTAGTTATCAGTTTCTTCATGGTTTTGTTACATTGGGCTACATCAGATCATTGGCTCCTCACTAACTTGTTTGATCTATTATCGTGATTTTTCAAGCAGGTGTTGGGACAGCAGTTTCGATGCTTCACGAAGAGTTCAGTAATTGACTAGTGTTGTTAGTGTCATGATCTTACTCAATGCTTACGCATGCTTGCAGAATAGCATTATTTGGCTATGCAAGTTTTAGTTGGTTTAAATAGTACCATCTCATAAATTGAGCCATCTCTTAACTCATTGCCGCATTTGGAAGACCTTTACCAACTGGTCTGCTCAGCAATTCAAGTTAAATGTTTCCATCAAGCCTGATTTTTAGTACATAATCTTAAAATTAAGCAGGATGACTGTGTTTTGAATGTGTTGTGAAAGACTGGATACTCCCCTTCAAATGGGCAGTTTACCTAAGCCCATGTAAGGGCCTGCCTCTGTTTGAGGAAAAATTACTCTTTCATTTTGTACCTCAAGGTGCTGGACGTCCAATCCATTTGAGTCCCCTCAAGCGAGAGATGTTTTTTGTTCAATTTTCTGCGACACGGACTGCGACAAAAATTGAAAATTTAAGGGGTCAGAGAGCGCCTGTGCCGTCATTAGGGAGGGGGGTGGCAGGGTGGCTAAATTTCATGTTAAATGAAATTTTGTTATTTCACCTGAAATATTTCATGATTAGTAGAAATTTGGTTCCTTTTCATGTTCCGCCA